ATCTACAGACTGATCCTGAAATAAATGCTCATAGGAAACTAAGATTGAGGACAATGACAAATTACAAGAAGAACAAGCCTCTTCTCCGTACATGATTGCGTATCATAGTTTCATCATAACAGACATTTCATCATAACAGACATAAGCTCAAGAAAAGGCGAGTAGAGAAACTCTATAAATATTACTGCGTCAAAATTTCAGTATCATACACTGATCTGTCCAGTCTTTTTATGCTCCTAGAAAGCACAATTTGATTACTCGATGCATTTTCGACCGACGAATGTAGATTAGTAGAGCTTTAATTGGTCCCTTTCCCACTTATTTTAACTCTTACAAAATATTAATGAGGTAGGTAGGGACGCATAAAATCATCGTGGAACATCTTTATTGGAGATAATATGAAATAGCTTACAGGGGTCATGATCCAGTCAGCTCATCAGCTGCAAATCCGTTGATGTCGGATGTTGAGTAATAGTACGAGTCATGAGCCAATGTCTGCAAAATATCATACTCAAATATGAGATGCAAATATAATGGCCAGCAGTCCACGAGAACGATGGGTGTCTCTTCATAAGAACTGATCCAAATTGTGAAGACTAGTAATTATGAGTAAGACTAATGCTAATTTTAACTACATTTTAGTATTACTTTCGTACTCAAATTAATGATAAATGGCATTACATTTCTACTTTGCCTTGAATAAGGCAATAGAGACAACCTTGTCATTCTAATAATAGCGTGAAATAGCACCAAAAGTACAACATATGTAAGGGGAATGCTGACAAATTATGAAGTAGGAACGAGAAAATGTTTGCGAAGGTAATAACATCATAATTACGAGGATTATTCTCTTACCTGTTCCTGTGCACGGAAATACATGAAGGGTGTGTAGTGAAGGAAGTTTGAAACTCTGGATGTGTATATGTCCGCATACCTACGAGAAAGAGGGGGATAAGCAAGACAGGATGAACTCATAGCCGCAAACTAAAGCGAAAACATTGTCATATCTATGATTAAAGATGAGTGATTACTTCTCGATTTGTCTTGTAAGGTGGCTCTTATCCCACAGACCAGCACGAGACAGATAACCCCACCTGAACAAAGTAACCAACATTGGGTAACTGAAGTTAATGATATGCTGTCTTCATCTATAAATAAAGCTAACCCACGAAATGATATATAACATAAACTGCTTCTAGTTAAATAAGCAAAGCAAACGAAGATAGTTTCCCAGTAGTATATTATGAATTCCAGCTCAACAGTCAAGGGTAACTCATTCAAGTGTGTCCTGATTTACAACAACTCATTCATGAAAATAGATTTAGGTTTCTATCAAATCCTTTCCAGCGTAACAAACATTAGAAGACATTACATACTCAAAAGTCCAGTAGTTGAGAATTGATGGTAAGGTATAAAAATTATTTCCCAGTTTCTAACTGAAAATACCAGAAGTTCTGAAACATTATTTAAAAGGACAAGCTGAATACTAAACCCACCATCTCAAACAACAGTTACCATGAAATTATCAACAAATTTCAATAAATTTAGCATGTTGAACAAGACTTTGTCAAATCGATCATGGAATAATATATGATTACCATCTTTTACTCAAAAATTTCATCCTACAGTACAGAATAAGTTTTACCTTCTACTGAAGTGTTCCCCATCTGCTTCTAACTTGGGTGCAATTTTCTCATCCAATCTTTGCATAACAATAAGCAACTTCTGCATGCTTTCAGTCAGTTCTTGATCATCCATATTAGTCGCAGCAAGAGTCTGGAGAGAATTGACCGAGGCATTAATTATATTGGCAAGTAACTCAGATATAGCAAAAATCAAATAAATTCAAACTAACAAACTACTAATCAGTAAAACATAAGATCTCCCCCCCCCCCCCCCCCCCCCCACCAAAAAAAAAAAGAAAAAGAAAAGAAAAATACACCTTTTGAAAGAAAACTAGATGTTTTTTTATTGCTGAATTTAATATACCTGAGCAGGACGACCTTTGAGCCGACGCTGTAGAGCAAGACGAAGCTGATTAAATAGATCCCCTACTATTTCCTTTTGATGCAACAGTTTTACAAGACCTGATCTGTTGTTTCGACTATGGATCAGAGCATTAAACTGCAAACCAGATATCAATACATATTCAGCTTTGGTTCAAATAGTAAATGTTCATAAGATAAATGCAATGCAACAATAAAAATTCATGATGAACAAGGATGGCACAGTAAATCCTATGTAAATGACTAAACACAAAAAACTATAGAGTCTCGTTACACCAGAATAAATTTAATTCTCCACTCACAAGGCACTCTAACCCGAAAACAATAACTAGAAGTTTCAGGCAAGAGAATGAATTTCCGTTATTTCACCCAAGAAAACATCCCATAGAAACAATTGATTATTCCACCAAACATAGTCAGATGCAACACTGAGCTAACCGAAACCCTCTTCTCAACCAATCAGATGACAGTTACAAGTAGAACTACAACACCTAACAGTTCGTGATATGGGACGCAGCTCAAGCCATCCTACCTCCAATCTCTAAAACTAATATTTGGTCTTCAGTTGTCATTTTCCAATCATAACCTTACCCTAACACTTCTCAAACAGTTAGTCTAAAATAACGCAGGCTTGGTAATTTCAGCAGGTAATTGGCCTGTCCTTTTCCAGTATATAGCTGGTTGGGGCATGGTTTCCTAATGGAATGAGTTGAACACCACACAAGCTGCTCTAGTAAAAAAAAGGCCGACACTGAAGCCTGAGATTATTAGGAGTTAGTTGGGACTGGATCAGGACTGGCTTGACCTGGAACCAGCATAACTGAATTACGAGTCTTGACTGGCTGGACCTGCAACCAGCATAACTGAGTCAAGAGTCTTGACTCTAGACACAAAACCGATCGGTTTTTGAGTTGGAGATCTGAAAATTAACAATCAGTATTTCAATCTCAATATGACAGGAGTGAAAGGATTAAAATGTAAATGGTAATAATTAAAACCAATGTAGGAATGGAAGAAGTGATAGTAGTATATTTGTCAGAAGACACCTGCGAAAATCTTTTTGACTACATAGTAAATATTAGTTCCAAGAAGAAGATGTTCCTTAGCAAACAAATGAGTTTCCCCAAACTAAAAATCTTTGTTCTAAGTTATATCTAGGCATATAATTAGACCAATACCGAGCAGTCTAGATAAGATCCCCTAAAACATTATGAAACTTAGTATTCAAGCGCGACCAGTTAACAACACATGTTGTAGCCAAGGTCATAAATGATCCTGAATGATTCTAATGTAACAATTATTGCTACCATGATACTTATTATCCATTATTTTTTATAAGGACTCAGGATGCAATAGAAGCACACAGCCGAAAAAACACAACCATGTGACCACACAAACGCACAACAGATAAAATTGTAACTAACCTCATCTTCCAGTTCTCTGCAAATCAAAGCTGTCCGCCACCGCAAATGAACTTTGGATTGGCTTACATCTGTAAATATATGGTCTCCGACATATAATATCTCATCGCCATGAACACCAAGGGATTTCTCTACCATCTGAGCACTTCCACCTGAGTATAAGCCACCTGTAGAATGATAGAATAATAAAACAGTATCCAGTCATGAACAAACCTGACCTTGAACTCACAGAGAAAGATAAAGCAATATGATACTGCACCAATCAGAACTTAATTTCCTTCTGGCTGAGAGTTGCTGATCTACATGCTTTAAGAGTTTGTAGAAAGGATTTTGGATTATTTTTCTTCCTTTTCTAAAATATGATTTCAGATCTTCACTGCGACGGGTAAGGAATTTTTCAAGTAGATTTTGTGATGAAGTTGAATACTAAATAGTAGCGCGGAGATTTTAGGCTAGGGATTATAGTGGTGGCTGATTTGAAGGGAGATGTGTGGAGAGATGAGGAGAAATAAACTGCAGCATTAATGGAGTATTGATTTGAGGGAAAATTCTGCATTGTGATAGGACAGGTTTAACAGGAAGGCTTTTGGGTGTAAACACAGAGTATTAAGAAACGAAATAAACTATCTCTAGTATCAACCTAATGCAAGATCGATTTTTAACTGGTTTTGTTTTTAGATCTGTTGATCAATGAGCTTCCGGGTGTTAGGTAGGATTTTGGTTTTTTTCAGACGGTTTGACATCTTGACATAACAGGAATAAAAATTTGTGGAGTAAGGTTTGTTGTGAAGTCAAGTAAAAGAAGGCTGTTCAGTATTATATAAGCAGACCGTTGTGATGGCTATTTTGAAGGAATGCAGATTTAGATGGAAGTTGGGAACTAGGTTCTTAACTCAAGACAGAATATTCAAGACAGATCACCAAAGAATAAATATAAAAGTGTATAAAGATGACATATCACACAAGGGATGGATTTCAATTGAAATAACAGGCCAAACAGAGACAAGTTGGAAGAGGTAAAGAATTTCTCCACAAAAACAGTATTCAATTGAATAATCTACCGTAGTACTAGTAGGTGATCCCCGAAATATATAGAAGGCTGGTTTAAAAACTACAGGCATACCCTTAAGTTTTAATCGGACTCCAGACAGCCCAAAAGAATAAATAATAATAGCTAACAATTAACTCAACAACTGACAATTTAAGTGCTAAAACACTCACCAGAAAACTAATTTCGTCTCCTAAGTTCAAACACTCTATCCCATGGCAATATATGTAGACAATCAACAAGAATCAGAATATTAGAAATGTTAAGTCGATTCTATATTATCTCAACTCTAAGCATACTGGCGCTGCAATGCAGGAAACTTCTTCTAGCACACCACTTCTAAAACTGGCTAGAATGCTAATTTCAAGTTAATAACTCTCACACACTAGCTATATAGTGTCAGTTAGATGACTGCTATAGTTCATTCCAAGGACAAAACTTGACCAGCTTGGACCAGATTGGGCTTGGGACAAACCCAAATGAATATTGGCTGGGTCTGGTTAATCTTGGAAGATGATGGATTGTACATGATAGTCTAGTTGAGCATCATTTACTTCTTAATGTCTGCATCTAGCAACAATATATACTCAAAAAAATTCAGCATGATGCAACTTAAAGTTTTGTGACACTGAGCTAAGCAAAACATACCTCTACATGAATTGAGCAACTAGAACTTACTAACAAGAATACAATTTCACAAAAGCCAGAATGTACCACCTGAACATGCCTTAAAGCTGGGGCGCATTAGTCCATCATCTGTAACCACTTCATACAAAGGGTGCGACATTTGAAAAAATTCAGGCTTCCTTGCGGAGACAATGACCTGTGAAATGTCCATAGGAAATTTGTTAAATAAGAACAGCTTCACTAAAGTCTTTATGCTAATATGATCGCCTGATTGATTCATAGCATCATACTACTGAACTAGATAATGCACGTGAAAACAAGTTGTAGTTAAATATTCTCATAAACCTCACCATGTCAAAAAGGTCACGCCATGTCATATCATTAGGAAGAAACCTATTGAAGGCATGATGCATCATCTTGTTCGTGTAATGATAGTCTGAGTTGGTAATTAATAGCAACCTCTTCCCAGCCTGACAGCCAATAGAAAATGAGTAATGAAAAAAAAGTTTTAAGCATGACTAGCTGAAACAGATATTGGATTAAGTTAAAGGAGATATTTATGAACCTCTTTTTGGTCCAAAAGAGCCAAAGGGAGCTCTGGGTCAGGCTCCACAAACCGTTCTGGTTCAGCCATTATCTCACTCTGCAAGATCACCCAGCAAACATCCATCAATGGTCAAAGAGAAATTATTGAATATAATGAATGTGAATGTCACCTTAAGTTGGCCTTCAACATGTCAAAGAGAAATTATTGAATATAATGAATGTGAATGTCACCTTAAGTTGGCCTTCAACATGTGCTCTGAAAAGGGCTTTAGAAACAGCCTGAAATAATGTCACCTTAAGTTGGCCTTCAACATGTGCTCTGAAAAGGGCTTTAGAAACAGCCTGAAATACAAAGCAACATTGTAAGATTATAACTATACCTATTATAGTTAATAAGTTCAGTGTGTTGCCTTGAAAAGCCCTTTGTAGTCAAATGGTCCAAGTTCAGATGATATAGCCCCTTGATCCAATCTGTCAACCATCTGCACAGAGAAACCAAGTAATGTCATTCTCAACTTTATGGACCCGCTCTTTTTATTTGATGACTGACAAGACATTAGTCGGATAAAATAAACATAAGAAGGTAGTAGCATGATCCATTATAACAAGATAATAAAATGGAATCTGAAACTTTGAAATTCAGAAAGAAACAACTAAGAGTAGTTTCTACTTGTCCATGGAGCTTTATGCTCTAAGGGGATTGCAAATTGGTCAGAATGGGTCAAAAATGAGAAGACCCTTCGAAAATTGGTTCATGACCAAATGCACAAGTACAGTGTTTTGACTGTTTTCTGCTGCTGGATATCTTTACCTTGAGACATGATCATCAAATTAATGTTCATTGGGACCTTCATGTTTATTGCTGCTGGATATCTTTCCATAGAGGCATGATCCTCAATATTTGATAAAAGCATAGAGATTTCATTAACTATGATGTCATCCTCAAATATTTATTGAGATTAATATCCTCAGAATTGAATAGCTAAGTACAATGGACACCTGGAAGCGATCTTAATTACTCATTTGTTCAACAGAAAATCATACTAGTTGATGTTCCACTTAATCAGAACAAGTATAAAACAGATACCATTTAATCTGAAAGGTAAGAAGCAGCAATATTTATGCAAATAAGCACTACATGACATGTCTTAAACTATTAACAAGCTAGAGAGGCTGATGAATGTGAAGGTTTACTTTTTTTAATTTCCTATCCAAAGTAGAGTAGGAGAAAAATATACAGTAGATGGTCAAAAAGAGAACTACATGAAAAAGAGAGTAATCACCTGCATATACATTACAGCTTCTGACACAGAGAAGAGAGTATTCAGAAATTCCCATCGACTTTCGTTCCGAAGATCAACCAGTTCTCTCCCATAAATCTCGCTTTTGTATACACAGGGTTATATGATTAGACGAAGCAAAAGAAGAAGGTTATATCAATTTTGACTGCCAAAAGCTAGGACACAAAATAATTACATAACATGGACATATAGAAATACCTTACAGCCTTAGTTGACAGCATATTGGTACCATGCATAGCCCGCTTCACATAGCCAAAGCGATCAGCCTTAACTAAATTGCCTCTCTCTTTATCCATGATGAGACCTCTGATAACCTACAATAACAGGGAAGTCTAAGGCTTCTGTACACAAGAAGGTAACCAAATTTCAGAGTAAATGTCTTCGCACTAAGTTAGTCTTAGTCTACCCACAATTACTATATGAGTTAAGATATAAGAACTTATAAATATTACAAGAATAAATCTTAAAACCAGTAGAGCTAGTTAAAAGATACATCATAACTTCAAAAAAGCTACTAATGACCTCTTAGCCATGCTCATTTAAAAAGATACCAAGTTAGGATCAAATTCGAGGCCATCAACTGGAAACCCCATGCTCTTGAGATTGGCCATTCCATAATCATAAGCACGGCCTTCCCATGCCTGCAAAATTGAAAAGCTGTAATCATCTCATAAATGTTACATCAGGAATTTTATTTTGGATAGTCCTATAGTTGTATTGAGTAAAACAATCATATGCAAACCAGACTAAATTCAATAGATGTCAATGTAAAATACTGACATGTTAAGGATTTGTAAACTTTCATCAAAACATTCAGAAAAATTGTCATGGTGATCATCCAGACTGAATTCTTACAATTAAGCCAAATAGATATCACTCAATGTTATCACTTGAAGTTTTGTTTGTTTTTGAAGGCCCTAAGAAAAGATGCATATAAGATCATCCGGAACAAACTAACTCCAGAACATTTGCACCAGCTAATTAATCAAGTATCAGGTCTGCCTAATTGTCAGCTTCTTAAAAGGTCAGCACGAAATGAAATGCATTTACTCCAGCTTCATTTAGCAGTAAATGCCCAAATACGAAACAAAAGAAAAAAAATTTGCCACCTGGAAGAGCAGTAATGATTTTTCCATGGTAATGTCGCCTACTTTCTATAATAAGAGAATCATTCAGAACTATTTCTCATTTTTGTTTAGCTCTAATCACATTTTCCTTATACTTAGTAATAGCTAGTGGTTATTCTGGTGCTTCAATAGCATATCCTTAACAACTTTACCCAGCTTATGCTATTAAATAGGGGCAACAAAATTCATATCAAGCTCATTCCAACAGCAGCAAGTAGCAACCCAAAAGATAGAGGCAAATTATTCACAAGGAGTGTTTTTAAGGAATGTGCTCTGCTATAAATAAAACAAGGATAACTTAAACACCAGAAGGAACTTGTTGTTACCATAACGTTATAGTGAATCAAAGTATAGTCCATATCGTAACCAATTGCACTGATTGAACGTAGATTTAATGTCCTGGTGCAAAATATACCACGAGGAGAATGTCTTGAAGAAAATGGCCCCTGTGAAGAAGTACAATTACAGGATAACCTCCATATTAGCATCCTCGTCAGTCAAACTCAAAATCAATAGTACTTAGTCATCAAAAGCTGTAATGCAAGCAATTATAGACAAAAAAGTAACAAACTGAGATGATGAGTCATATGCCTATGCAGATCAAGCTCACAGTATATATACCTTAGTCATGGTTTTCTTCTTTAATTGCCAGGAATCAACAATATCAAAATCCTTCACAAGTTCGAGTTATTTTTGGTTTGACATAAGATGGGTTAAAGGTGATAAAACCATGTCTTTCAGATTCATCCCTAACTAGGTTCAATCAATCTATTAGTATTGTTTTCTCCTAGACAGCATATTATCTCATGATAGGCCCTCGCAAACAGCCCTTAGAACTAGCATTCTAGTACGGAACATGATAACACTAATCTACAGATACTAAGCGATCAAATGATAGTCAAGGATGAAAGAAACTAATAATTAGATTTGTAACTTTATATATGCTATGTCGATTACTCAAATAATACTACAAGACTTTTAAGGCAAATGCATGTTAATCCATATATGGTTAGGTTCATATATCTATATTTCTTTTCTGGGAGAAGATTCATAACTTCATATAACTATCTCATAGACAGTCAAGTTACTAGTGCCACCATTTTTTGTTGGTAATTCCCTTGCAATCTGTTAATAGGTGTTAGGTTTTTAGCAAAAGAGAAGCACAAATAACTGATAGCTTTTTATGAACCTGGAACTAGTCGGTCAGCTTCTAATTTGGATAGGGGAGGGACACGAACATGCAACGAGGCCGTCGAGGCGCCACGAAAAAGCCTCCATAAGGCATAAGAGAGGAACAGCTCCCGGCATGGTTGATTTATTGTTATTTCACTATATCCTCTTGCTACTACACGTGCGTTGCCACTAGTCTCCATGATATATAACACCAGCATGCTCAATTTTCATCATGTGATAAGAATGAAATAGATCTTGTTGAAAAATTTCTTTGCCAGATTAGACATCTAGAACTAATGACGGTGTTGATATTGCTTCAACTAAGCTAATTTGGAAAAAGAAATTGATAGCTTTTGTTATTTATTAGATGATATGCATATTCTTTTGTTAAAAAATGTTGTCATTTTCTTTTGTTTTTTCCCCTCTTTTATTTCCCCTCTTTTCTTCTTCTTTTCTGTGTTTTCTTGTGTTGCACAGACATGGATATCAGAACAAGGATAAAGCAAGATTTCATAAATAAGCAAAATCTTGGGGGAAAAAACTAGGTCAACAATTTCGTGTGATGTGTGTAAGATAAATTAGTAGAAGAAATGATATATAACCTAAACACTCGTAACAAAATAATGTAAATTATAAAACTACAAATCATATAAACCATGAAACCTCAATACCACCAACCATAAAACAGGTAGTAACATGCAAGGATATGGAAATACTATCTAAAAACATATGTGCGTGTGAGACGTAGATGTACATATAGAGGTACGTGAATATGTATATGTATGCAAGCATGTATACATGCATATGTATGCAAGCATGTATACATGCATATGTGTGTGTCCCCAACAAGAGATATGAAACTAAACCACATGTTAGCAATGGATATATTGGACATATACACTACAGGCTCCAGTATGTCGGTGAAATATCAGTGCTCTTACTTTCTCTGAGCTTTTTTATTTGTTTCTTTCTCATCAAAACATAAACGAAGTCCATAAGTGTCATGTCTGCTACCGCAGATGTCTCCCCTAAATAATTAATGACAACATAGTACTACGATTCCAACTAATCACTTCAGTACTAGCGTAACGCTAATTGAGTTTTTAGTATGCCATGATTCAACTAAGTAGCTACCCAGGACAACTAATAGATAACCAACAAAGTTAATGCACCCTAGAAACTATTACCCTTTTTGCCCACTGATCTTATGAAATTTAAAGTTTAGATACATATGTAAGCATGCAACCTTTGAGCATCTAGTTTATAAACGGAAATTTAAGCAATCATGAGACATAAAAAACTGAAGAAGATTAAGCAAAAAATTGAGGAACTCTATGCAAACGATCCACTAAGATATGATCAACATGATGAGGCATTAAGAAATTATGGTTGTGGTACCTATGGGAAGAAACAGACATACACACCAAAAAAGGAAAAAAAAGAGCATAGAAGTCTATTTTCGATGGTACTGCTATTCCCAGATAGCTAAGCAGCATCTCTGTTTCTCTAGCTTTAACCCTCGCTCTCTCTTCAGTTGCGCCATCTAAGGTAAGCTGAATCATTAGGGATTGTTTCGAAGAAAGAGCAACAGTTAAATCGTTGGAGATTTTCTTGCCTTTTTCTTTGGTGCAGTTTTGAATTCGATATGATTAGTTTTCTTTCAGAATCTGTTGATGAATTTATTAAAAATTTACGGCTACGGATCTCGATCGGTCGCAGTTTTGTAGGAATCAGAGAGAGAGTTTTTGCAACGGTAGTTATTCTCGATTATGTTACGATCAGAACGATTTCGTTAATTTGAAGTATATTCATGATTTTGATAAAGATGCCGATTTTTTTCTGTTATAATTTTCTATTTTATGCAACTTTTCTCACTAAAATTATAATCTAAGGTCTAAAGCTTTTTGAGTCCTGGTTAGTGTTCTCTATTGCTAGGTAATTTCTTTATTTTTATCGTGAACAGAACTAACCTCTTATCTTATGTAATTTCTCTCCGTAAAACTATTGATCCTGATCTAATCAATATTTGTTTCTTCTTCCTTAGAAATAAAAAATGTCGGCCAAAGTTCAAAGTAGCAAAGCGATCCCAAGCTCAAAACTCAAACCAAAACCCCAAACAACCATCAATCGAGAGTGCCAAATGCAACTGCAATTGAAGAGGAATCCAAAGATACTACGATCGTCTGTGAGAAAGAGCGATAGCTGAATCATTGGAGATTTCTTGCTATTTTTGCAAATTTTGAGTTTGATTTGATTAGTTCGCTATCAAATCAGTTGCAATATTTATTAAAAATTTTATGGTTATGGGTCTCGATCAATCACAATCTCATCTCGTAGGAATCAGAGTTAAAGTTTGTGAAACGGTAGTTATTCTTGACTTTATTACGATCAAAATGAGTTCATTAATTCGAAGTATTTTCATGATTTTAATAAAGGTGCCACTTAGATTCTTGATTATGCTTTTCCATATAGATCTTTTTCTAATATGATTTTCTATTTTATGTACTTTCTCTCATTAAAATTATGATCAAGTTAAAGCCTTTTGCGTCCTGGTCAGTGTTCTCTATTTCTATGTAATTTCTTTATTTTTATCAAGAATGGAGGAGCTAACCTCTGTCTCATGTATTTCTCTCTGTAAAACTCTTGATCCTAATATAATTAATATTTGTTTCTTCTTCCTCAGAAGAAATAAAAATATTGGCCAAAGTTTGAAGTAGCGAAGTGGTCCTAAGCCCAAAATTCGAAACCAAACCCTAATAACCATCATCGACACAGACCAAGTCGAGGTCGAGATCGTCAAATGCGACTACAATTGAAGAGGAATCCAAAGATACTGCTACAATTTGGGAGAAAAACTGATATCTAAATTATTAGATATTTTCTTGCTACTTTTTGCAAATTTTGAATTTATAATTTGATTAGTTCGATGTCGAAATCAGTTGCTATATTTATTAGAAATTCTATGGTTACAAATCTTGATCAATTGCAGTCTCATAGGAATTAGGAATAAAAATGTTGAAATGGTAATTATTCTCGACTTTATTATGATCAAAACAAGTTCGTTAATTTGAAGTATACCGTGATTTTGATAAAGGCACCATCAGATTCCTGATTATTAGATCTTTTTCTGATGTAATTTTCTATTTTTATGTAGTTTCTCTCACTAAAATCATGATCTAAGTTTTAAAGGTTTTTGATTCCTGGTCAATGTTCTCTATTTCTGTACAGTTTCTTTATTTTTTACTAAGAACAGACCTAACCTCTGTCTGATGTAATTTCTCTAATACTCTTGAACTTGATCTGATCAATATTTATTCTTCTTCCTAAGAAGAAATCGAAATTGTCGGCCGAAGTTTGAACTCTGAAGCAAGAAGCATTCACAAGCCCAAAACTCAAACCTAAACCTCAAACAACTATCAACAACACCGACCACATCGACACTAAGAGCACCAAGTGCGACAATCCAATGATATTGCGATTGTTTGGGAGAAAAAGCAATAGCTAAATCATTAGAGATATTCTCGCTATTTTTTTTGCAGTTTTGATTTTGATTTGATTAGTTCGCTATTGAAATAATTTAATCTATTTATTAGAAATTTTACGGTTATGGATCTCGATCGGTTGCAATCTCGTAGGAATCAGGAAGATAAAAAGTTTCTAAAACGGAAGTTATTCTCAATTATATTACAATCAGAATGAGTTTGTTAATTCGAAGCATATACGTGATTTTTAATAAAGGCACCATTTAGATTCTTGATTATCCTTTTCCATCGATATCTTTTTCTGGTATATGTTTGTATTTTTATGTAATTTCTCTCACCAAAATTGTGCTCTAAGGTTTAAAGCTTTTTGAGTTGTGGACGGTGTTCTCTATTACTATAGCCAAAGTTCGAAGTAGCAAAGTGATTTTAAGTCCAAATCTCGAACCAAAACCCCTAACAACCATCAACAACACCAACCAAATTGAGATCGAGAACTCCAAATGTGATTGCGATTGAAGTGGAATCCAAAGATATTGCAATTGTCTGGGAGAAAGAGTGACAGCTGAATCATTGGAAATTTTCTAGCTACTTTTTTACAAATTTTGAGTTTGATTTGATTAATTTGTTGTCGGAATTAGTTGTGTTTATTAAAAAAATTATGGTTACAGATTTCAATCAATTGCAATCTACATGCCATTTTGCCCATTCATGAATCCAACCTACATGCCATTCCTTAGTTATCAATCTAACGAGGGAATGTATTCAACCACAAGCTTCCGAGGGACATTGAATACTGAAGTAGCTTCTTCAAGATGGACACACCAAACTTATTCTATAATAGAAAAAACATTTTATATATCAGCATTAGTGTTAATTTCAGGAACACCAGCCCCCTCGCCCACCCCACCCCCAAAAAAAGGAGAAAAAAGAAAAAGAAAAAGCTTGAGAGTGCTGCAAATAATCCCTTGACTATTCTATTTCAAGAAACATCAAAACTTCAAGGGTGTTGTAGGCAGTGACGGAGCTACATAGTGTCTAGTGGTGTCACATGACACCATTGGATTCTTTACTTTATAGACATTTTTACTAACTTTTACTTGTATTTAATATTTAGGACACCACTAGAATTATGGTAGGACATCAGTGGGGAGAATAATCATGTGGATTGCCTACTTCAATGAGCTAATAGTGGTATGTGAACACCACTTCCTAGATCCACCACTAGTTTTAGGTAACCTTTTGAACTTTTTTTATACGACTAAATCCCCTTGAACTTCGGGGGATGTGTAGATAACCCTTTTCAATTTTCTCAGAGTTTTTTTATTTGTTTCTTTTTTTTTCTTTTCTGTCATCAAAACATAAATGAAGTCCACACGTGTTATGTCTGGGGAACCACAGAGGTCTCCCCTAAATTATAAACAAAAAAACAATACTACAATTCCAACTAATAACTTAGTACTAGCATCATACTGAATATTCTAGTATGCCATGATTCAAATAAGTAGCTACCTAGGACAGCTAAGAGATTACCAACAAAGTTATTGCATCCCAGAAACTATCATCCTTTTCCGATTTATCTTATAAATTTTAAAGTTTAAATAGATATATAAGCATGCAACGTTTGAGTGTCTGATTTATAAATGGAAATTTAAGCTTATATGAGACACAAAATACTGAAGATTTCGATGCAAAGTAATCCAGTAAGATATGATCAACCACTAAGAAATTATGGTTGAGGTACCTATGGGGAGCAACAGAGACACACACAAAAAGGCCTAGAAAAAAAGAGCATAGAAGTTGATTTTGGATTATACCGGTATCCCCAGATCGCTAAGCAGCATCTCTGCTTCTCTAGCTTCAACCCTCGCTATCTCTTCAATTGGGCCATCTAGGGTAAGCTGACCATCGATACCTTCAAAAGACGAACCAAAAGAAGAGCATAAGACAAGATTCCATGGCAACAGGATGGTTGCATGAACAGTTCTCTTTCATAATGTGATGCTGTAATTAGAAAGTATTGCACAATCCTAAAAGTTCAGAGCTAGTAGAAGTACATCCAAGGACGACCACCACCACAACAAAACGACGACGACAACAACAACAACAACAAAGCCTTCATCCTAAACTTTTAATATCATCTATACGGATGATATTTTTTTTATTCAATTCAAGGGCTATCTCATTTGTCAAAACATATTTATGCAATTATAAATCGTGTCATTATAAGTACACCCTCATGTAAATACAAATTATGTCATTACATAATCTACCAGGATCGTGTGCACTAGTAAAAGGAACACCTTTACCAAAAAAAAAAGATTAAAAAAACTCACCAAGAGCCTCAAGATGCTCTTTTTTCACATTCAAATCGCCTTTGGTGCTCTCCCCAAGGTAATCCACATCAGATTTGCTCGAGGAAGTCAAAGAGAACCTCTCCGCATCCACGGATTTCGCATCGAGGGCTCTGCAACAAAGCGCAAATTTCCTTCCCGAGCTGTAATAATCAGAGAAACCCAGAACAGAAATAGGCTTTTGGGTTGCATGTCGCAAATGGGTCGGTGCCAAAATGGGAAATTTGTGGAAATTACGGAGTAATTCGATAGCATCCGCCATTTTTGTAATGGGTTTTCTATTTTGGGTTCAGGGTTTTGGAGTGAGGAAGAGGGAGAGAGCTCGAGCTGGGTCTCGGGGATAGGACGAAGGAAAAGGGGAGGAATAAAGAATGAGAGAGAGAGAGAGAGAAGAGAAAAAGTTGCGGCCAGAATCGAACGTAGGTAATGATCAGGATCTTTGTTTTTCCGAGTTCCTGTTTTCTTTTTAAGGGTCTGTTCGTTGGCCTTAAAAAAATGGGAAATCAAACAAATAGAAAACTATTTCTAAGAAGAATTGTGTTGGGAGTGTTTGATTTGCTAAAAAAAGAAGGAAATCAAAGAAATGAAGATAAGATGAGATGAGTTGTCATCTTATTATAGGATGATGTGAGTGTTTTTTTAAGAAAACTTGTTTTGAGATTTCTTGGTTGGCGAAAAAAATAAGGAAATGAATTATAAGAAACATATTTCTTGTAAAAAGTTGTTTTCTTTTGTTTGGTTATTTCTTAAAAATAAGAAAATAGATGAGATGAGATGAGTTGTCATTATATTATTGGATGATGTGACCCACACTTAAAGAAATTGTTTTCCTAGCTTTTTGGGAGGAAAACAAAGAAATGAAATGTTAATGAGATGAGATGAGTTGTCACAATCTTATTGGATGATGTGAGTGATTTTTAAATATGAGATGAGATGAGTTGAGTGATGTTGTGGATGAAAATAATATTTTATTAGATGTGGTGGATGTGATGGATGAGTTGTTGGATGAAAATAATATTTTATTAGATGTGGTGGATGAGTTGTTAGATAAAAATAATATTTTATTAGATGTTGTGAGTGAGTTTTAGGGGGTGTTTGGCAAATTGAATGTGAATTAAAAGTGTGAAAGTCATTTTTTTCGTAAGTGAGAAAATGCATCCATGTCATCATGTAAGTGAAACACAGTGTTTGTTTACACAAGTAAGTTATCGTTAGAAAGTAGAAAAGTGAAGATAGTGAAGATGATGTGGCATTTCATATATTTATTTATTTATTAAAAACCATATCATATTCTAAATGGTTTTGGTAATTGCAAAAAGTAGTCAGCATTTAAAAATACATAAGTAGCACGATTAAACACAAAAATAGGAAATTTAATTCATAGCATAACAACTTGAAAAAAAAATCATGTAAAGACCCCTTATCAGATTTAATCAACAGCTACAGATTGTATCCTTAAATTAAAAAATAAGGATTTTTTTATCATAGTCATTTACATCCTTAATGCTCGGGAACTAGTCTCTCAATTCACTGAAATTGCAAATGTGTCCCTCGATTCTTATATCTTGCTATTAGCTATTGACTTTGACTAAAGGGATTAATCTGAAAGAACTTACAAAAATTGAAGAATGTAATAGTAATTTCAGGAATCAAGGGATTAATTGTGCAACAACTCATAAGTATTGATGCACTTGATAGCAATTTCAATAATTTGAGAGACTAGATAAAATAGCAAATATTAAGGGGCTATTATAGATAACTCAAGAAAAAATGATATTCCCAAACTTTAGATGTTGTGGACAGCCATGCATAAAAAACTGGTTAACGAACCTAAGAAAGTGAAAATTTAATTAAGAAAATATTTTTTTATTAAGAGTGGTCCTCATTTTTTTCACTTACATGTGACATCCGCACTTTTTTAGGGTAAGTTGAAATTGTATTATAGCTTACGTGGCAAGAGTTTGGTATTTCACTTTCACAAACACTTCCAATAAAACAAAGAGGTTTGCTTTGGTGCTCCGAAAATAGCTTTTTTTCAAATTTTTAAATTGACAAAAATAAAAAATCAGTTAAGATAAGAAAGGGGTATTTTAGTCTTTCCAAATTCTTATCTAATTGCTTTATATCCTGAAAGCTTCCGTTGCTTCTTCCCTTTCTCATCGTTAATCTCTCCCTCTCAAAATGTATTTCTGCCATTGACGCTCGTGTTCGCTCTGCCTTGCATAGAGAAATTATTTTCTTTCTTCGCTCCCTGAGAGGAGTCTCTTCCATAGCCACGATGAGTTCGAACAGGAGCAAGGTATGTAATCACTCATTAGAACCCTAACTTTTTCTCTGATTGTGGAAAAATTGATAACATGTTGTTTGCTAATCTCTGAATGGTACTGATTTGAAATTAGATAAGATTTTGGCTTCAAACAGTTAACTACCTCGCCATGTCCAAGCTGACCTTTTGTACCTCTTCCCCACGTAAGCACTTTACCATCAACTATGAAGATCAAGATAGATCACGATGTCAGCGTTACAATCATTTTACATTGAACAAAAAGAAATTTCACACATTAAAAAATTATAACTAATCATTTCTACAGGAAAGCGGAGCGTGACTTGATAAGGCGTTAAAAAATTATAACGTGAATTGGAGAATTCTAACTAATCATAAATGTTGGTTTTCTTCTAAATTGTATTTCCTAAAATAACATTTTTACCTATAGTTAATTACAATTTTAGGTGTGGAACACTTCCTAACCGCCAAATCTATCCACCTAAAAATGTGAGAGCTATTTTTAAGGAAATTATTTACAGATATGCCATCGGTGCTCCAACAAATCTTTATGGAGCACCGAAGCTGTAGGCTAAAACAAACATCAAAAGTGATAAAAGTAAGTCACTTTCACACTTTCACTTCCTACTTTCGGGTAAACAAACACCCCCTTAGGGATGGAAATGTGTGAAATTGTAATTTTTGAGATTTCTTGGTTTTTATTTCTATCTTTTGGTTTTTTAGGAAATAACAGAACATGCCCTAATTTCTTTTTGGGTTATTTTTAGGAGTGCTAAGAATATGGATATATGCAAATATATCAATTTCCATATTTGTTACGCTATGCATATAATTACTAAACATCTATATTTAACATGGTATGATTATAAATATGGATACATAATGAAATATACGGATCAATATCCAAATATTCGGATGTATATTGATTATACAGTTACAATTATTTTAATTATTAGCTTAATAGATTTGATATTAGCAAATATATTAATGAATCCTCTTATATCACATAAACCATATATTTTTTATATACTATAAGTTTTTATTATATTCTTTTTTGAATCTGTATGTATATCTATATTTATATATTTGCACGTATATTTGTCTCGTATCTAATTTTAGCGGGTGTGTATATGAGTTTCCTTACCAGAGGATATTCATATTCTTATCCATATCTACAATTGTTAAATGGACATGGATATGATCGGAGTCATATCCAATCCAGTTGCACCTCTACTTATTTGATATTAGGCACTCAACTCTTTCGTATTATGATATTAGCCCTCAAATCATTATAATTGCTATTAGGTCCCCTAACAATATAAGTATTTTGAAAGTAGTCTCTCCGATACAAAATCCGTCCAATCTGGCAATCGTTATTGGGTTAGTGCTTAATCGTGAAAGGATAACTACCAAACTACCCTCATTAAAGAGCATGTTATTGGGTTAGCGCTTAATCGTGAAAGGGTAAGTACCAAACTACCCTCATTAAAGAGACATTATGAGTTTTTTTAAGAGTTTTGCTACAGAGACCCAAAATATGAGACCAATAAAAGAGACAAGTGAGGTGTCCCCCTCCTACTGGATAATGAGTTGGCCATCATTAATGATGGCCAACTCATTATACAATAAGAGGGGGACACCTCACTTGTCCCCCTTATTGGTCCCATATTTTGGGTCCTTAAAGAATTTTTCTTTTTTTAATTAAGATGTGTTGGAGTGTATAAATGGGTATGAGATTGGATTTATATTGAATGAGTATATGATACTCCATTACAAACCGTTAAAATTGAAAGAATATTTCCCAAATTCATACCGTGCTAAAAGGGGACTAATTTGAAAAAACTTATATGATTTGAGGGGGCCTAATAACCGATTTGGGACTAATCTTATGATATATATGAAAGATTTGACGGAGTAATAACCCTTTCTTTCTTTCTTTTCTTTTTTCTTTGGGAAAAGTGGGAGATGTATACATAGATACGTACATACAGAGACATTCACATGCACATATATAACCTTGCTTCAAAAAAAAAAAAAAAAACATACACACATATAGCCAAGCAAGGAGAGAAAAAAAAAATCAGTAACTACAGCTACCTCTTTATACACTTCTATTCCAATTTTCGTCTGAAAAATATTGCTTGAATAGAACAGGCAATCAGGAGACGATTTATGTAATTTAGTTTGTTTAATCAGTTAATGCCATTCTTTGCACAACATTTGGATGATTAAGGTTGCCCCTATGTTTAATAGCTTATTTTATTTTTCTCTTGAAGCGTTTCAAGAAGAATGTGGGATTGTTGATAGCTTTTTAATAAAATAATTCAATATTGCAAGGTTCAATTCCGACAAAATTTGTTGCTTTCCTGCTACTTCATTAAATTATGTTCCTCTTGTTGTTAACAGTCCTTTTTTTTATAGATATAATATTTTGTTAGTCTGTTAACTTGCATATGCCTTATTTACTAATAAAAAGGAAGATGAAAACATGTACATCTTACCAAAATTGATCAAAGTCAATGCCGCTAGCAATTGTTAAGGATTAGTTGCGAATAGACCCCCTTAATTGATACGGGTGTATCTTCTCTTCGGGAGCTTAGCGATCCTCATGGGAGCTTGAGGATAGATGATTCTCATGGTATCTTGAGAATAGAGTAGAGGAGTCGTGGAAGAGGCCATTGGAAGCAACGAAGTCGAAGGATTCGTCAAAACTGCAGGAATTACAGTTGGGCTCTGGCCGGTCGACCGGCTTGGTCGCGGCGGTCGACCGATTAGTGCACAGACCCAGACTATGTCTCGGGACTGAGAGCGGTCGACCGAAGGTGGCGCTGCGGTCGACCGGAAAACCCTGTAATCGATTTCCCAGATTTCGACGTTCTGACCGGTCGACCGCCTTGGGCACTGCGGTCGACCGCGTAGCGGTTACGGGCCTGGGTCTGTTTCCTGCTCCAGTTGGGATTTCTGTTTAGTATAAATAGAAACACGACTTGTCTAGGGTTGAGAACTCAGTTTGTAATCATAAAAGAGATCATGGAGGTTGTTCTTTGATCTAGAGAGATTATGAGAGAGAGATTTGTAAAAATCCAATTGATTCTCATAATCTAGAGAAGGTATTTTCCTTCGCCCTAATTCAACTCTTGTG